ATTTCTCCTCTGCATGCTGTGGCTTGGTGACATAGAGTCATACAGCATGGAAACAGACCCTTCGGCCCAACCAATCCATGCCGAGCGTAATTCCAAACTAAACTAGGCCCACCTATCTGTTCCTCCAAACCTCTCCTATTCAAGTACTTATCCAAATGTCTTCTAAATGTGGTAATTGTGCCTGCATCCACCACTTCCTCAGGAAGTTCATTCCACATGCGAACCTCCCTCTGTGCAAAATATTTGCCTTGTCTTTTTTTAAAATCTCTCTCCTCTCACCTTAAAAATGTGTCCCGTAGTGTTGAAATCCCCCATCCTAGGGAAAAGACAACTTCCATTAATTCTGTCTATACCTAGCATTATTTTATAAACTTCTATCAGGTTGCCTCTCAACCTCCTACGTTCCAGTGCAAAAGTCCCAGCTTATCCAGCCTTTCTTTATGACTCAACTTCTATACCCAGCAACATCCTGGTAAACCTCTTTTGAACCCTCTCCAGCTTGATAATATCCTTCCTATAACTGGGTGACCAGAACTGGACACTATTCCAGATGAGGCCTCACCAATATCCTGTACAACCTCAACATTACTTCCCAACTCCCTATATTCCAAGGACTGAGCAATGAAGGCAAGCGTGCCAAGTGCCTTACTAACCATCCTGTCCATGTGTGACTCAAACTTCAAAGAATTATGTACTTGCATCCTTGGTTCCCTCTGTTCTACAGCACCACTCAAGGCCATACCATTAATTGTATAAGCCTTACCCTTGTTTGTTGTACCAAAATGCAATACCTTGCATTTATCCAGATTGAACTCCATCTGCCATTTTTCAGCCTATTGACCCATTTGATCAAGATCCCTCTGTAATCTTAGTAAACCTTTTTCATGTCTACTAAACCACCGATTTTGGTGTCATCCGCAAACTTACTAACCATACCTTCCATGTTCTCATCCAAATCATTTATATAAATGACAAACAACAATGGACCCAGAATTGATCCCTGTGGAACACCGTTGTTTGGAGGTCTCCAGTCAGAAAGGCAGCCCTCCACCATTACACTCTGTTTCCTGCCATTAAGTCAATTTTGTATCCAATTGGCCTGCTCACTGAGAATCCCTTGTGACCTAATTAAACTACCATGCAGAACCTTATCGAAGGCTTTACTGAAATCCAAATAAACAATGTCTGCTGCTCTGCCATCATCAATCTTTTTGGTAACATCCTCAAAAAACTAACAAATTTGTGAGACACAATTTTCCTCTCACAAAACCATGCTGACTATCCCTAATCAATTTTTTGCCCCTCTAAATGTCCATAAATCCTATCTTTTATCATCATCTCCAACACTTTACCCACAACAGTAGTCAGACTCTCAGGTCTGTAGTTCCCCAATTTCTCCTCTCAACATTTCTTAAACAATGGTACAACATTAGCTACCCTCTAGTCATCAGGCACCTCACCTGTAGTTATAGGTGATGCACGTATTTCTGCAAGGAGTCTTGTAGTTTCCTCCCTTACTTCCCATAACGTTCTGGGAAACATTAGATCAGGTCCCAGAGATTAATCCACCTTTATATTCTCTAAGAACTCTCAAACTTCCTATTCTGTAATGTGAACTGTTTTTAAAACATCAAAGTTTATTTCTCTGCATTGTCTCGACTCCATTTCTTTCTCCACAGTAAAACTTGAAGTGAAATATTCATTTAGAATCTCTCCCAGCTCCTGGGGTTCAACGGAAAGACGACCTCCTTGATCTTTAAGATGTCCTACCCTCTCTCTAGTTATTGTCTTGCTCTTAATGTATTTGTAGAATCTTTTTGGATTATCCTTAACCTAATCTGCCAGTGCTATCTCATATTCCCTCTTTGCCTTCCTGATTTCTCTCTTAAGAATGCCCCTACTCTCTTTATATTGACTAAAAGATTCAATTGAACCAAGTTGTCTATATCTAAAATAAGATTCTCTTTTATTATTGAGGTTCTAGTCAATATCTTTAGTCATCCATTGTTCCTTAATCTTATCAGTCTTACCCTTCACTTTAACATGAACAAAATGCCTCTGTACTCTTGTCATCACACTCTTGAAGGCCTCCCACTTGTCAGATGTCCTTTTACTTGCGAACAGTTTATTCCAATCAACTTTTGAAAGTTCTTGTCTCATAGCATTAAAATTTGCCTTACTCCAATTAAAACCTTTAACTTTCATGGAAGGCTTATCCTTTTCTATAACCATTTTGAAATTATTAGAATTATGATTGCTAAACCCACAGTGTTCCCCCACTTTTACTTCAGTCACCTGTCCTGCCTTATTGCCCAAAAGAAGGTCTAGTCTTGCTCCTCCTCTAGTAGGAGCATCCATATATTGATAAAGAATTTTCTTGAACATATTTGACAAATTCTCCACCATTCAAACCTTTAACATTATGGTAGCCCCATTCAATGTTTGGAAAATTAAAATCCCCCATTATTTTCGCCTTATGCTTGCATATATCTGAGATCTCCCTATGTATTTGTTTCTCAGTTTCCCTGTTACTATTGAAGGGGGCCTATAGTACAATCCCATCAAAGATTTTATGTATGCCTCTCTTGAAAACTCCTTTATGTTAAAATAGCTAACTTCTCACGAAACATTGAGCACTGGATGAGCAGAAACTTTCTCTAATTAAATATTGGGAAGACTAAAGCCAGTGTTTTTGGCCCTAGTCCAAACTGTCTTCTGTATCACTCAAATCTATCCCTCTCCCTGACAACAATTAAGCCAGTTTATTCACAATCTTGGTTTCACATTTGATCCTAAGGTAAACTGCTGACTTGATTCATGTCATTTCTAGGAAAGCCTATTTCCACCTCCATTTGTGTTCAACTTTGCCCTGTCACAGCTTGTCATCTAAAACCTTATTCGTGGCATCATTGCCTGTAAGCTGGACTTTACTCATACACTGCTCTCTGTTCATCTACTCCTGGTCATCAAAAGCTGTTGCTAAGGCTTAAAAAAAGTCCCATTCCCCTATCCACCCCTGAGGTCCTGACCTACATTGGCTTCTAGTCAAGTGATATTTTAGTTGTAGAATTCTCCTCCTTGTTTTCAAATCTTTCCATGACCTTCCCCTCCCTATTTGTGTAATCTCCTCCAACTCTCCAATATCTCTGCACTCTTCTAATCCTGGGTCTCTTGTGTATCCCAACTCATCATCGTGGTTGGGTCACCCTTGGTTTCCCAGGCCCCAACCTCTGAAATTCTATCCCTCCATCTCTCTGCCGTCCTTTATGATGCTTCTTAAAGCCTGCTTCTTTTATCAAGCTTTTAGTCTTCTGCCTGATATCTTTCTATATGGCTTAGCGTAGCACTTGCTTTATAATGCTTCTGTGAAGCACCTTTGAATGTTGCATTAGTTTAGGGCTGTGCAAAATAGAGATAAAGAAATAAACAGAAGCTGTCAGACCGGAGTGCCTCTAGCACTCTGGTTTTTATTTCAGATTTCTGGTACTTCACTTTTATAAAATAAGTGATTGTTTATGTATTTTATTAACTAACATGTTATGAGCATTGAGCTGTGGTACATGCTGCAGAAACATTTTCTGTATTTTTTTTTTACCTTGCACACAGTATAGACACAATTTTAAAAGTGCTGGTAATCCTATCGATATCACATTCTACTGTCTCCTGATTCACCATGACCTATCGATCCCTTTTCTCTCACTTAGAGGTCTAAAAGGTCAGTGAGCTATCATGATAATCTGGCACCACTGGAGTAATTTATATGTTTGAGAGTATGCAGTTTTATCCACTGATGTTTTATATTATCCCAAATGTTCCAACTGATACAACTAAGTACTCCAGAAAATCTCAAAGTCTATCAATATCTTAATAAAAACAATATGAATGACTCCATAATAACTGCTGATATGAGTTAACAAAGTTACTTTCAAAAATCACACTGAAGTAACAAAGTGCCATTACATGATGCTGCAAAATACGTACAGTTCAAAATAACTATACATAAGTCTGTTACTTTAAATTGCAACACTAAAGTAGTGTTGGGTCTTTAAATAAAAACTGTTTACCCCTAAGCATTTTCATTGTTAGCTTGGGCCATAAAAACTGCTTTAAACCATATGTCTTTTGATCTTGGTCATATGGCTATGCTTCCTTACAGAAAGTGTTTTACAACAAATTACAGTCAAACATCATATAATTTAATTTCTGACTTGCCTAATCAAGTCAAAAGTATTGAAAAAATTACTCACGCCTGCACTTTTAAGCTTCAGCAGTAGGATCTTAACTAATTTAAACCAAGTCTTGCATGTCCAATCCTCAGCTTCATATTTTAAACATTTCATGCTACTTTTTGTTAAATAAGTAATGAGGTTCAAGAACATGAGATATGTACATCCAGTGATTTTTGGACCCAAAAAGAGTTCAAAGTCAATTCTCTGAGCACCTTTTAATCTCGCGTACATTCTACATTATACCTTAAATGAGCTGCGTTTTTACACTATGCCCATTGTGACAAATGGCTTGAACCTTGTTATATCTCACCGCAATAGCTTTAAGCCAATAATGTAAAATTTTAAAGGAATAACTGTAATTAGTTTAATGTGATTGTCATGATAAATATTACCCAATATTCCTTTAACTTCTTTAAACATAATAGTTCTTTCACCGGTTATTGTTTAGTTAACAACATTGGTTATTCCTAAATTATTATGATGTGGATCCTATAGCCTGACAAATTGCATTGGTGTCAATTATAATGTTTTTTAATGAAAGTCGTGGGCGCTAAATAACCTTACAAAATAAATGTTTTTCTTTCTTTCGTGTGATCAGGTCTCTCATTCAAAGAGAAAACTATTAAATGGGTTGTGCGTGGCATTCCCGTAATGAATACAGGAAGATCTTGATAATATTTATGATTTATAAGTAAGCAATAGCTTAGTCAAACTAGTACTGTTTTTCTGTCTATACCCAATAACACAGCTTACCTTTTTCTTATTTTTCAGTCTTGCCAGGCTGACTTGGTGAAGGACAATGGTCACAAATATTTCCTTTCTGTTTTGGCAGACCCATACATGCCAGTGAGTTTTTATCTATATGTTGAAAAATACTACTTTTTTCTTAATTAAACTTTCTAGAGAGAATTAGCACTTGGAAGCAGACAATGCTTCCTATTTAATTTTGCTTATAACTGTCTATTGTTCAACAACAAGATTAAACTTAAAATGTAGCATTAGGACATGTTCAAAAGATCGAGTCCAGAGTAAAGAAGTTGTAATTTACTCAAAATAAATTATATAAGTTAGCAGTCAGATAGAGATTTGAATAATTTAAAATAAATCCAGAGTAGCTGTGAGAGAAAGAAAGTTCATTTTTATATTGTGCTTTTTGCATGGTGGTCCTTCGCAGACAATGGATTACATTGAGATGCAGTCAGTTAGATAGGCACAAGATGCAGCTAATTTCTGCAAAACATGATGCAATAAACTATAAATAAGTAAAATAATTAAATAATCTGTTTTTAGTGGTGTTGATTCTGGTACAAATGTTGAGAAGGACAGAATACCCTGCTCTTTCCTTTCCCTAGTTGTGCTATAGGATCCTTTAGATTTACCTTAGAGAGTAGAGAAGGCCTCAGTTTAATGTTTCATCCAAAAGCTGGCCCATCCAACAGCACAGCATCCACTCATCACTGCATGAGGATGTCAGTCTAAACTCGGTGTGCAACTTTCTGGCATGAGATTCGGGCAAAACTATGATAAACAGAAACTCGTGGGGAAATGTGAACTCATCCACCTTAGGTTTGAGAAAAACAACGTTTAATATTATCCTCATTGTGAGAGAACAGGTCTACTGCAAAACAAATAGCATTAGGAATATATGTACTTTCATACCTAATGTGCAGGTACCAGAATGAAGAAGAAAGTAGTTTAATTAGTTAAGTTATGAACTCGATTTACATAAATATATTTGTGTCCTCTTGAACTGAGGTACCTATAATGCTAAAGGGGTTCAGTAAAGTAGATGGAGGAGTTATTTCCCCTGCTGGCATCATCCAGAGCAAGAGGTAGAAATTCTGAATTGGAGTTAGGCCACTGAAAAGAAGCATTTTTGTTTTACCCAAGGGGTGATGGAAGTCATCAGATAATGCTGTGACAACTAAATTTTGAAGATTTGTAGAATTTGTTGACCAAAGTTATTGTAGGATATTGAATAAAGGCAGATAAATTAAGCTGACATACACATTGGCCATGATTTAATTGACTAACAGAACATGTTTGAATGGCCTACTCCTGTCCCTAGCTTGTGTTTCGAGGCACCCATAGCATCACAGAGAGGTTAATGTGCCATAATTAAGACAGGGTGGATACCTCTAATAGTTAAGTAGCAGAATATATGATAAATTGAGACATAGAAATTGGTTGAACTACAGTACTTCTGTTGGCCAAATGATGTTGTTATAGGTGTGCATAAACATTTCCCCATTAGCAAACAGGACACGAGATTTTAAAATTGAAACAGAAGTATGATTAATAACATGAAAACAGGAAATGTGTTTTTGTATACAGTTTTCTATTGCTGGCAAGTCTAGACCTAGAAGTCTCAAACTTAGAGTAAGTGGTCATCCATTCAGATGAAGAGAAGTTTCTTCCTTTTTGGAATTCTTTTGTGCAGAGGCCGCTGGATGCCTAGTCATTAACTCGATTCAGTACGAAGATTGGTAAATATTTAGGGGCTAAGCGAATTCAGGGATATGGGGTTTTATGGAAAGATGGAGCTAAGTAAAAGATCAGCCATGATCACAATAAATAGCATGGCAATTTCAAAGGTCCAAAATAACATTATTCCTATTTCTTATGTTCTTATACAATCTTCTGTGTTCTACCCTGAAATTCACTATTGCTTTTCGTGGCTGTGCTAATTCAAGGTTTTTGTTTTGTTCAGGCTGAGCACCGAACGATGGCTGCCTTTATTTTAGCTGTCATTGTTAATAATTATAATACAGGACAGGTAAGTAGCATTTTATGTTTATATTTAAATCTGCTACATTTAACACTTGTGTTAAATATACTAATGTAGCTCTTAACAGAAGAAGAGAAAATTAACGAAGATTTTTCCCTCTACAATTGGTGATTTTCTATGTTTGCTACATTTGTTATTGACCATTCATTTTAGAGAAAAAATATTTCATCCAATTTCAAGCCTATCCTTGATCAGATTGTGTAAACTTACTTTTAGAGACAAAATGGAATTTTGGACATCCTATCAGACACTCAAAACAGTCTCATAAAATTAAAATTTAACACAAGCCCATAAAAGCATCATTGTACCCGAACATCTTTCCTGACCTTTTCCACTGCATCCTGCCTATTAATAATCTGCAGTCTGGATGCAGTCTTCACAAGGGCCCCTACGCACACCAAGGTAAAATTTGTAATGAACATGTCTGATTTTGGTCTACTGTTTGAAGAAACTCCTAGTAGTGACACAATTTGTAGTAGTGACGTAACTAGGAGCTGTTGTTTTTTTAACCCCTTGACCTGAAAACTTGTCTTTCATTTATCCAATTGTCGGAGATCAGTCTGCCTCCATAAAAAATATCCTGCCGTAGTTTCAATTGCTCTTAGCTAAAGTACCAGCAGTAATAAATTTCTCTGTTTCATCCTTTGTCCAAATTGACCATTTTTTGGTCGAGCTTAAACAGGGGAATCAGGTTCCCAAAGCTTTGGTCTCAAGGTTTTGCTGGATGTTGCTGCTGTTTCTTTACTTCTCTTTTCTCATTTTTGTGTGCTGCCTCTGCATTGGAAGCAGAAGCCCTTCAAGAGGTAGATGTCATCACCCTATACGTCCTTGGATGGGGATCTCATCAATTCTATAAATTTCTCAATATGGACTTTGAGTAGTGAATAGAATTTTTAAATGTGTTCCCCATTTAATTATCCTATAAGTTAGTAAGTTTGGGTCTTGTTGCCCTAGAGTATTTTTCTTTGACAAAACCTGAAAACTGCACCTCTACCTGATTTCAATTGAAATTAAACTTTTTTTTCCCAAATTTCAATGGCAAATTGCTGGGTTTTTTTGGTTTGATTTTCTAGGACATCAAAGTTTTGTTTATCTGCTAAGGAGTTACATTCCTTAGTCTCTAGACACAGAAGATTCAGACACTGAATAGAATGAATACACAGATTCAATAACTTATTGACAGTACTAAACCCAAACCAGAGCTGATGCATCCTTGAAACCCATGCTATTGGTCCAGGATAGTTGCTAGAGTGTTATTGGTTGAAGGCCGAACAGAAATTCCCTAGTTGGACGTTAAACCTAACTTTAACCCCCACGCCTCTGCTCTCACATGGCTCAAGTCATGCTGTTTGTATTTGTGGTGAAACCCATTGGGACCTGCATGTGTTGAATTAAGCTGTTAGCTATTGTCCAGCATTTTGCCCAGGTATTCCACCTTAATTACATTGGAAAAAGTAATGTACAAATGCAGTAGATGAGTAATAAAAGAATCTACACTTTTACTTAATGTGAATGTTGTACATAAAATCCAATTTGGTGATACCTTCAAAGGTCAACGAGTGCAGATTTGTGCTGATGGCACACAATGTGGGAGGTGGAAGGCCGGGTCAATAGTAGGTTTGCAACATTTCTGCAGTCCTATCAATACCTCACTCTGGCCATGCCAAGTTTGAGAATTCTAGATGAAAACTGCCCGTATATTCAAACAAAACTTAATGACCATTCTAAATGAACATTGTCTTTTATAGATAAACATCTATGAGTATTTTTTCCATCTTTTTTGTAGGAAGCTTGTTTACAGGGAAATCTAATAGCGATCTGCTTGGAACAACTGAATGATCCCCATCCTTTACTGCGGCAGTGGGTGGCTATTTGTTTGGGGCGTATCTGGCAGAACTTTGATGCCGCTCGCTGGTGTGGTGTAAGAGACATTGCACATGAGAAATTGTACATTCTTCTCTCAGATCCGATACCAGAGGTAAGCTACCTTACATTTGTTGCTTCTTGCAGCATATTGATTCAAAATCAAAGAGAAATTACAGTAAGAAAGAGAAACTTTTGTCAGTGCCCAGTGCTTATAATGTGAACGCTTTTAATTTTGCACTTTGTTGTCAGCTCTTACAATACTCAAAGCTCTGATACCGTGAAATATAACAAATCGTTCGAATCCAAATTGGGGTTTGGTATGTATGTGCTTATGTTTATTCCACACCAATATTTAAAGAGACTTCTGAGAGAGAAGTTTGAAGAAGGGCCACTGAACCTGAAATGTTACTTCTTTCTGTAGATGCTGCCGGACCTCCTGAGTTTTTCCAGCAATTTCTGCTTTTGTTGTTTATTTGTTATTTGTTTTCTCAGGAAGATTACATTTGCTGAATGTTCAATTAATTCTCTTTTTATGTCTCTGTGGCTATATTCCTGTTGAGCTTGACATGAGTCAATTCCTGTTTATCAAATTTGATAACCTTTGTACCTGTAACAGCAGCATTTCAATGCACAGTGTTCTGACAGCTGTGAAATGAAGCCTTTCTATCGCTGATACCATGCAAGTGTTTAAGTGCTAACAATCTGTTACCAGCTACAATTGAACGAGGTGCAAGTTTTTGACATGCATTAGATTGGATCGAAATGGAAAGTCGGTACATGTGAAATATCACATCTTTTAGTCCATTGTGTCTACTATAGCGAAAGAAGCAGCTGCTGCTGAGTCATAACATAGCATAATCCCATAGGAAATTCTTCAAGGATGTACTGAATGAAGACTTACTATCTTTTGACATTGTAACCTAACAAATGGGCTTCTCATTGGCACTCTAATATATTTTCCAATTCATCTTCCAAAGTTGTATAAATCAGTGATGTCACAGGATCAGTGACATCAGCAGATGTTTTCCTCTGGGCTAAAATTAACTGGGAGAATATGACACCAGATGTTTAATATATCACCAGTTTTCTAAGATGACAGAATGCAATTTTGAAGATTTCTTTACTCTGTTTCCATTACTGTTAATTCACGATGGGTTGTAGTAGCAACAGGTGGCAACTATCCTTTGATGTAGAGCTATACAGCACGGAAACAGACCCTTCGGTCCAACTAATCCATTTGTGGACTTGTTGAGTATTGTCAAGATAATTCATCTCTTGGTGGGACCATATCCAAAAGAATCCTCATGTATACAAGCTCACTGTCCAGCAAGGATGACTTACTGATCAAGAATAGGGATGTGACTAAAAGATTTTTATGTTCCTGAGACTGACTGTAGCTTCCAATGATGGTAAGAATGAGCTTGCACTTACATAGTATGTTTAATGACTCAGGATTTCACAACCAACAAAGCACTTTTGAAGTGTATTTAGCCTTAGTGAGCAACACAGCAGTCAACTTTGCACCACAAGGTTTAGAAACAAGATAGATGATTAGTTGATATGTAATGATTTTGGTTAGGCCACTGAGAGAACTTCCAAACTCTCCTTTGAACAGTGCTACAGAATCTTTTACAAGGCCATGGTTCAGTGCCTTCTTACATTGTCATGTATGCCACCTTTTAACATTCTTCCTATACTTCATTGAAATGCCAGCATGTTCAACTCTCGAGGAAGGCTTGAACCAACGGTATCTGATCCTTGTCAAATGTTAGTAATGAACCAGTCCTTGAATCTTAGGTTTATAACAATGTGAATAATTTTTGACATTACCAGGAAAAGTTCATGCATTTATTTTCAATTTTTTAAAATAAGTAAAAATATATTTGTCCATTATTCCTTTTAACATTCAACAACTGATGTATAAATCTGATGTTCCTTTAGAATAGTAAATTTAAATTGTATCTTCAGTTGAGAGCAGATTTGCATCTGGTGTGAGACGTTAATTTGAGGCCTGATCTGTCCACTCAGGTGGATAACTAAGACCCCTATAGCACTACTTCTGCTTTGTATGCTGGTTAATATTGTCCGTCAAGTAAAATCACAACAAAACGTTATTGAATTGTTGCTGTTTGAGACATCTTGCTGTGTGTTTATTCATCAGTTGTTGCATTCCTACATCACACTTGACTACACTTGGAAGATGTACCGGTACTGAAATAGCCTGAGGTCATGAAAGATGCTATATAAATGCAACCTTTTTCTTTCTTTATAGTACATTTCTGGACTACAAAACAATGCACATTTTAGCTCATCACTTACTGACAGACTCTGCAAACTGAGGACCTTTTCAGAATGAGAGATTTGGATTGTAAATGTGATTCCTAAAGAAAGGAGCCTCAGTTCAGCAGCCTTTTGAAAGGCGTATATGTAAAATTATCCCATTAGACCATTTTAAAACAACAGATATACTGCTTCTAATCTGGGTACTTTAACTAATTAAGCAGCAAATATACTGAAATAATTTAAGCAAGCCATTTAACAAGGAGAGATCTGATTAAATTTAACTCTTGCTGTGGAACACCTCCACCTGGACCATTGGTTGGAATTGGGACAATTTATATTGTAGAATGAAATCAGCAAGTATTTCTAACCAAGTAAGAAGTCTACTGTTCTTCATTGATTTTTTTTTTTGTTTGTTTAAGAGCAAAACAAAAAAAGAACAAACGAGAAGTACAGCACAGAAACAGGCCCTTAGGCCCTCCAAGCCTGTGCCAATCAACATGCCGTGACTAAACTAAAACCAAACATTCTGCCCATATTCGGTCCGCAGCTCTCTATTCTGTCCCTATTTGTGTAACCATCCAGATGCCTCTTAAATGTCGCCAACGTGCCTGCTTTCACCATCTCTTCTGGCAGCGTGTTCCAGGCTCCTACCACTCTCTGCATGAAAAACTTCCCTTGCACATTTCTCTTAAACTTTCCACCTCTCACCTTGAACCTAAGATCTCTCCCATTTCCTCTGGTTCCATGCGTAACTTCCCTCCTTTGTCCTTGCTACCCTCTTTTTTTTTTCTAATATATGCATGAAAAGCCTTAGGATTCTCCTTGATGCTAAAGACATTTCATGGCCCCCTTTTAGCTTTCCTAATTCCACCTGTACGTTCCTTCCTAATTTCTCTATACTCTTTAAGGACCTTGTCAGTTTGTAGCTGCCTAGAGCTATTGTGTGCTTCTTTTTAAACTTGAGGTTTGTTTACAGCTGGGATTGTGGAATTGTTTTAAAATTATGTTCTTGAGATTCATAACCTAATTGTCCATCATGTTGATGACCGTTGCTTTTTTATAACTGAGACGACGAGTCACCCATCTGCTGACAGTCATGTGTGCCAGACTGGCTAAGACCTGACTGAACCAACTGAATTTTGATGAGCATTGTAATCATAACCATTATATTTCTGACTCTGGATTAATTGACCTCAGTCTCTGAATATTCCGTAGTGGAATTTGAGGCCATCTCAGTTGCCAGTCCAGTACTATAAACTGCAATATTAAAACCTGGTGCTTGTTTATGAAGGTTTCTTATGCTAATACAATTGTCCTGTGATTATATATATTTTAGTGAATTCCCTGTAAAGACTCCATTCCATTCTTTTAGATTCTCCATCTCCATCACATATGTTTAGCTGAGGCCAGCTTCAACAAGGGAACCTCTGAAATGTCCTCCACCTTCCTCAACTGAGGATTCCCCAGTACCGTTGTCAACAGGGCCCTCAACCACATCTGACCCATCTCCTGCATGTCCACCCTCATCTCCTGTCTTTCCTCCACAACAGCCATGTCCTTCCCTACCATCTCACCAGCATCCAAATCCAGAGTATCATCAGGCACCATTTCCACCACCTCCAGTGAGATGCCACCACCAGACATATCCCCCTCTGCTTCCTTGTCCGCCTTCCGCAGGTCCCATTCCCTCTGGGACAACCTGGTCCACTCTTCCTTCAATCCCAAAATCCCCCCTACAGCCCCACGGCACCTTCCCCTGCAACTGCTGAAGGTGTAACACCTGCCCGTTTACATCCGCCGTCTCCAGTATCCAAGGGCCCAAACATACCTTCCAAGTGAAGCAGTACTTTACCTGCACCTCCCACAATTGACTCTACTGCATTTGCTACTCACAGTGCAGTCTCCCCTACGTTGGGAAACGAAGCATAAACTTGGCGACGGCTTCGCAAACCATCTATGTGCTGTCCGCAAAAAAGACCGAGCTTCCAGTTGCCTGCCACTTTAACACACCACCCTGTTCTCTGGCCAACATCTGTATCAGGCTTGCTGCAGTGTTCCAATGAAACTCAGTGTAAGTTGGAAGAACAACACCTCATTTTCCGCTTGGGGACCCTGCAGCCCTCTGAACTCAATATTGAGTTAAATAATTTTAGGGCCTGAACACACTCATGACCTAGCCCCCTACCCCACACACCAGGCCTTGTTATCACATAGTCTGCCATTACATACTACTTATTGTTAGGCACTAATCGTCCCCATTAACAGGTGTTCACCCTCCTAGCCAGATTGTTATCAATTCCTTTGTCCAACTCTTCTTCTCTTACTTTGGCTGTATCCCCACCTATCGTTTATTCCTTACCCCCTGCCCCCACCCCCTCTTCTGCATATAAACTGACATTTTCCTAGCTGCCATCAGTTCTGAGGAAGGGTCACCGGACCTGAAACATTAACTCTGATTTTTCTTCACAGATACTGCTAGACCTGCTGTGCTTTTCCAGCAGCTTCTGTTTTTGTTCCTGATTACAGCATCTGCAGTTCTTTCATTTTTTTTTTCATTTTTTTCAATGAATTGTATTCTATTTCCCTGGGGTGGGGGAGTCCAAAACTAGAGGGGCATAGGTGTAATGTGAAAGGGGAAAGATCTATTTGGGATCCAAGGGGCAACTTTTTCACACAGATGGTGGTGCATGTATGGAATGAGCTGCCAGAGGAAGTGGAGGAGGCTGGGATGATGACAACATGTAAAAGGCATTTGGGTATATGAATAGGAAGGGTTTCGAGGTATATGGGCCAAATGGGACTAGACTTAAATAGGATATCTGGTCAGCATGGACCAGTTGGACAGAAGGGTCTGTTTCCATACTGTATATCTCTAAGATAGTTATATATGAAACAGATATATTAACTTTTCTGTGTTTTTGCTGCTCCAAATACTGCCTTTGATGTTCATCCTTGTAATATTTTGGGCACAGTAACATTCAGTTGATGCAAATACTCATGTCTGGCAAAACAAAATGACTATTTTATAAACTGCAAATGTGAAATCTAGTGGTACGAATAGCTGAATTTAAAAAAAGAAGTTTCAAGATTTTCTTCAGAATTTTAATAAACAATTTGGTTTGCAGGTGCGTTGCTCTGCTGTCTTTTCCTTGGGCACATTCGTTGGGAACTCAGCAGAGAGAACTGACCATTCCACCACTATTGATCACAATGTAGCAATGATGCTGGCCCAACTCATAAATGATGGAAGCCCTGTTGTTAGAAAGGTAACTGTTTTGTACCTTTTGGTTTATCATCGATGTATCACTGGATTAAAAGTTATTGCACTTAAAATGGTCAAAAGCAACAACTTTGAACTTTAGCAGTAAAGAGGGTTGCTTCAGAATTTGAAGGCATTTTAGTATTGATAGCGGCAGGCATGCTTGAGACCCATTCTCTGGCAGCGTCCTATAAGTGCAAACTCTGCAGTGTTGTTGCTAATTGCTGCTTAATATTTCAGGAGGCTTGAGAACAAAAGTGCAGGAGGTAGATTGTTTGGGTTCAGGAACGTCTTGTTAGTAAAGAGAGAGATGCAATCTGAAATTATAAATTGTTCAATCTTCAAATTCCTGGAATCCAACTAGAAATGTGGAAGTACTTTTTGCATATATTTGCCTTTCATTATATGATGTACAATCTTTGACTCTTTTGAGAATAAAAGAAAAAGTTGGAACAGCACTAGTCACTGATACACTGCCGTTAGTTTTACTGTATCATGTTTAGTTGAGGCACTGATTAATTTTACAGACATGGATTTATTTCTCCTTGGTTATTGGTTAAAATCAGCATTTTGTTGCGGATGAGGTATTTGGTTGGGTGACACTATTTTTCACTGAAAAGAAACAACAATGTTGTTAGAACTAGCTGTGGAAAAATTGTCCAAAGTGAATTATCTAGTTATAGTGTCATTACTGGACACAGAGGCCATTCAGTCCATTAAGCCCATTGCAGCTCTCTATTGAGCAACCCTGTCCATTCCATTACCCTGCTTATTCCCATATAAATGTGGGTTGAATTGTTAAAAGTGCAAATTTCATCAACAACCTGAGTATCTTTTGGTATAACATAAAGTTGATACTGTTTGGTTGGTAATTATATCAGATACAGACAAGCCTTCAAAACAACTCATTGTAAGACTTCCGTATCTTTTTTAAAGGCTGGGTTTTGGATATCTTGCTGTGGATTAAGCCTGATGAATAATGTTTTGTAAGCTCCCATTTACATGATTTATATGTTAATATTGCTTATTCTTTGAAAATACTTCAAATTCTGTAAGAAGAATTCAGATAGTTCCAATTTCAGCACTTTTCCTGCTTCTGACACTAATTCTGTATGAATAAACTTGTATACTCATTTAAATTTGAAATCTAAGCTAATTATTAGACTTGTCTAATAGCCAATAACAGCCTTTGCAAATATCTGGAGAGTAGTTGGAACATTGTGAGTTGCAGTTGTGCGAAAAGAAACTGCAGGATAAGCTGAACACATTGACAACACAATCTTCTGGAAAAATAATGGTAATTTCATGACAACTTCTATTAATAGTGCAAGGATACACCACGTATTGCTAGATGACTAACTCGCCAAAACCCTAAAATAAAATCAGTGTCTCTTTGTCAGCCTCCCAATTGTGTGTAGCAGCCACAAAATACTGAAATAGATTTGCAGCATTAATGCAAAATCATCTGACTGCAGCCATTTGGGACAGGTAATTCATACTGTGGATATCCTTTTAATGTGACTCGTGATGTTAATATAACACTCCACTTAAAAGCCCAAGCAGAAATTAGAATGTAGAAATTTGTTCCTAAGGATGTTGTTAACCTAATTTATTTCTTCTCCTTTCCAACTTTGTTTCTTTCTTAACCTACGCATGCTTTCCCTATAGCTCTGCTTCTGTTTCTAATTTGCCTTATTCCCTTCTCCATCACTGTCTACTTTCTGGATCCTTAAATTTCATGGGATGAGGAGGTAGACCACAAAGTTCTGGGTGATTCGTTAATTTCGATGGTGTGTTGTCAATTTTGTGCCAAGTTAATAACTCACCTGTGAAATGTGTGGTAGAAATTCAGCATATTCACTGTGGGTGCACTCCTATTGCAATTCCTGAACTATTGGGTCAAATTTTAAATTATGAGGTAACATTGACTTTTGATAGAAACTGGCCTTTGGAGGGAAAGGGGTCATGCAAATAGAGTGAGATTTTATATAGTTGAGTGATTTGGCTTTCAGAATTTGGATGTGGAATCAGTAGTGAATGTACACAGGATTGCCATACTGCAAGTGGAATTTCCATATAAAATCTGTTGAGTGACTAGAAAAATTATGGTGGTAGAATGATTGGTGCAAGTTTTTAAATAAATTAGAAGTTGATAACGAACTGTTCATTGGATAAGTGAAGGGAATATTTGTATTTATATCTCTGGTTTGTATAGCAGTCTATGACCAATACCAGTGCATTATCAATCTGGCAGCAACATCTTTAAGGATTGAATTTGCTGTGAACTAAAACCTGAAATTGTATAAATAGTGTATTTACAGATTAGGATTAATGTCTATTTTGTACATCACGTTGAGATCTTCAAGTGGGCAAGAAGATTGAGGTGAAGAGGTGATTTTGTCCTTATTGAAATAAAGTAAATGAGCCGGTTGGATTTGAGCAATATGGGCAAAACTCTGATCTCCGGTTCTTATTGAATTGTCTGATTTCAGTCAGGATAAAGTTCGGGAGTTTACAGTTTTCTCCTAGGTTATTGAAGAGAAATTCTGCCAGGCTCGCCAGGCTCCCCAAAGGGATGGATGTTTAGCAAGTTCACAATAGGAAGGTCCACACGTGGATACTACGAGTGCCAGGTTGGCCTAAACTGTGATACTGTCCCGAGTTGTATTTTTCTATCGTTTGACTGTTTACATTCACATTTGGAGGCTAGCTGGCTGAATAACATACTGGTAGACCTAATGGCACATGTGGTATTGTTTTCCAATATAGATCAGTGTTCTCAAGAGATGGGAAAAGAAATTGTGCAGATCTTGAGAAAACATTGTACAGCACTGAATAAGTGACATGTCAAAAGAATGAATGCCAATATATTGATTTGAAATGCAGTAAGAACCTTTTCCGCCCACAGAAGATCACAGGGGACCTACTGATTTTCAGATAATACCTGATTGCTGTGATGCAGACGCAGTGTTCTCAATCAGAAGACCATGTATTTATTTGTGACCACAGTAGAAAGTAAATGAGTCTTAGATTAGTTTCCTTTACAAAACCATGTTTCCTCTTCCCACTTTTACTATTAATTCCTAACTGAAAAATCTTGGATTGGAAACAATTCTGCTAACCTTTACTCATTCACTTAATACTATGGACAGGCTGGGTTTAGAAGAGTAAGAGATGGCTTGTTTGAAGTGAATAAGATGCTGGGACATCTTATAATGATAGATTTGTAGAGGATGTTTCTTGTGGGATAATTAGGTTCCTTAGCACGAGAGAGCTGGGGTGGGGGGGGCGTCACTGTTTTAAGAAAAAAATTAGGAGTCACAGATTTAAAGCAGATGTCGTCAAACTGTAAAAGTTATGAGTCTTTGAAGCACTTCCTGAAATGTTGGTGGAAGCAGAATCCTTGAATATTTTTTAAGACAGAGCTACATGAAGTTGTCTTTATTCAAGTGGGTAAAGATGATTGGCGTTGATGGGAGTGTGGATTTTGAGATTACAATCAGATAAGCTCTTATCAGATCTTATGAATAGGGCAGTCTCGAGGCTGAATAGCCTACTGCTCCTTATTCATGTATTTGTATGATCTTTTTCAGATGCTCTCCATGATTTTATTTCAGTTTTCAGGGCATTTACATTTGTTTTAGATTTAATTTTTTAGAGGACTGCTTAAATTCCAGGTTCATTCTGTGGTATTCTGAGTGATGGCAGATGTTGTCTCATTAATATAATGTCCTTCATACTTAATGATGTTGACGAAAGGGTGGAAATGATTTTTAATCTTTTGGTTTCCTGGATCTACAATTGTTATAATACTTTCTATATGGATTTATGCCACCTGGTGACTTTTTTTTTGCAGTTGTAACTGTCACTTGTTTGCGGTCAGTGATATAAATCTACATCAGATTATTGATATTGTTCCAAGGTTAATCTTATTCAACTGACAGATTTATTTTTTAATTGGCAGGAATTGGTTGTGGCTTTCAGTCATCTTGTCATTCAGTATGAAAGTAATTTCTGCACCGTGGCTTTGCAGTTCATGGAAGAAGAAAAGAACTACCCACTTCCCTCCCCTGCTAGTGTGATAGGTATACATGTTCACTTCTCTTAATTTAAAAATAAAATCAAAGTAATGTGGATTTTGACACTTTTTAAGGATATGGTAAATTTGTGTCAAATGTCTCATTCAAATTGGATGAATGCAGCTTTCTGACAAACTTCTTAAACGTTAAGTTCACATTCTTGCAACAGAAATTCTTCAGACAGTTGTGCAAGGTCCTTGAATCCCATCACAATACTTATATTTCAGTTATGAAAATATAAATCTGGGACCAAAGTGTGGAACAGGAAAAAAAGCACTGAGCTTAGAGGTGAAAAAAAGTTAATTTAAAACAGATGTCAAGAAGTTCTTAACACAGCAATAGTATAAAGAATGAGAATGAAGTCCCACTTTGGAGGAGTATTCATTGATTCCTTGTTCTTGTTGTGTATTGCACCTGTGTCTTGAAACCTTCAGATCCAGCATTCTAATCATACTGCTCAGGCATTACTGTCTTTCTGTTTCTTCTTCTTTTTCTGTTTTAGTTTTGGCTGCAGCACCTTCAACTGATTCAACTATAGCCAACCACTTGGCTCCCACCCCCATATCTAAAAGCCCTTCCTAAACTTCATTGCTTTTTCAGTTTTGCTTCCTCTGCAAGAATCTTAAGACTATATTCAGTTGTGATCCCTTGCCCTTTTGCAGTTACAATTTTGCATTTCTGTGCTACCAAGTGAAATAGTGCAAATGTAAAGTCTCCCAATGTTAATCTGCCAGAGGTCTGGGTGCAGGTGCTTTCTAGACCAGAAAATGGTTCTCAGATTTCAAAAATGGAGAAATATATGAAATTAATCATTGTTCACACATATCGAAACTGGAGTCAATGGGAAGCGGAGCAGGTCAGAGGCTAGGCGTACTGTAGCAAGTAACTCACCTCCTGACTTCCCAAAGCCTACATGGCACAAGTCAGAAGTGTGATGGAATACTCCCCATTTGCCTGGATGAGTGCAGCCCCAAGAAGCTTGACACCATCCAGGGCAAAGCAACCTGCTTGATTGGCACTACATCCACAAACATCCACTCCCTCCAATGCTGATGGTCAGTAGCAGCAGTGTGTACCATCTACAAGTTGCACTGCAGAAATTCACCAAAAATCCTCAGACAGCACCTTCCAAACCCACAACACTTCCATCTAGAAGGACAGGGCAGCAGATACATGGGAACACCACCATCTGCAAATTCCCCTCCAAGCTACCCACTAGCCTGACTCAAATATGTCACCATTCCTTCCCCGTCACTGGGTCAAAATCCTAGTGTCCCTAAGGACAGTGTAGGTCAACCCACACCAGGTGGACGGAGCAGTTCAAGAAGGTAGCAAAGTGGGACAGGCAATAAATGCTGGCCCAGCCAGCTAAGCTTACATCCCACAAATAAATAAATAAAGTACGTTGGCATGGACAGAGGGCAGGAAACAGCAAGTTGGATAAGGGCTTCTTTTTCAGTTTGGCAACATGTAGTGTTTCACAGACATCAGTGCCTGGGCCGCAACTGTTTGCAATATCTATTAATGACTTGGAGGAAGAAAGTGAATGTACTGTAGCCAAATTTGCAGACAATACAAAAATTGGTGGAAACGCAGGTTGTGAAAGGGATACAAAAAGTTTCCAGAGATATCCAGCTCCTATACGCATTGCACTGACCAATAAAGGCAAGTGTACCAAATGCCTTCTACACTTGCCTTTATTGATCGTTGTGTCGAATATAGGAGTTAGGATGTCATGTTGCAGCTGAACAGGACATTGGTTAGGCCACTTCCAGAATACTCTGTGCAATTCTGGTCTTTATGCTATAGAAAAGATGTTGTTAAACTTGAAAGAGTGCAGAAAGGATTAACAAAGATATTTGCCGGTGTTGAAAAGTTTGAAATGTAGGAAGTGGCTGAGTAGGCTGGGGCTATTTTCCCTGGAGCATTGGAGGCTGAGAGTGACTTTATAAACATTTATAAAATCATGAGGGGCATGGATAGGGTGAGTAGCCATATCTTTTACCCAGGGTACAGGATTCCAAAACTGGAGGGCATAGGTTTAAGATGAGGGGGGTAAGATTTCAAAGAGGTCTAAGGAACAACTTTTTTTACACAAGGGTGGTGCGTGTATGGAATGAGCTGCCAGAAGAAGTGGAGCAGGCTGGTACAATTACAACATTTAAAGGGCAATTGGATGGGTATATGAATAGGAAGGGTTTAGAGGGACATGGGCCAAACGCTTGCAAAAGGAACTAGACTAATTTAGAATATCTGGTCGGCATAGACAAGTTGGACCAAAGGGTCTGTTTCCATGCTGTATAGCTCAATGAGAAATATTGGTGGGTTATTTAAGTGGACAACAAGTTGGCAAATGTGAAGTTGGTCATTTTGGAAGGGAGAACAACAGGACAGATTATTATTTAAATCGAGAAAAACTATATAAAGCTGAAACACAAAGGAACTTAGGGATACTTGTGCATGAAACACAGAAAGCTAATATACACTGCAGCAGGTAATCAGGAAAGTTAATGAAATGATGGCCCTTATTTCAAGGGGGTTGTAATATAAGAGTAGGGAAACCTTACTGTAACTGTACATGGCACTGGTGAGACCACGAGTACTAAGAGCAGTTTTGCTCCCTTTAAGGAAAGATATATTTTAATTGGAGGCAGTTTCAGAGAAGGTTTACTTGGACGATCCCTGTTATGGAAAGATTGTCTAATGACCAAAGGCTAAAGATGTTGGAACTCTACTCCTGATATGACGAATTTCTGGTGAATTGTAACTCCAAGGATGTTGATAGTGGGGTAATTCAGTGATAGTACCTCCCAACACAGTAGACCCTGAATTTATGCCTCAATGTTTAATGAGGTACCATGTCAAACACCTTCTGGAAGTTCAGATACAACGCATCTGCTGGTTCTCCTCTATCCACTCTGAGACTTCCTCGAAAAGCTCTAATAAATTAGTCGGATGCAGTTTCCGTTTCATGAAGCCATGCTGACTCCACTTGATTAGATTGTGATTTTCCAGATGTTCTGCTGTTACTTCCTTAATAACTGATTCCAATACTTCTCCAACAATAGATGTTAGTCTAATGAACCTATAGTTACCCACATTTTGCCTCCCTCACTTTTTGAATGGGGTGCCACATTGGCAGTGTTCTAATCCTCTGATACTTCTCTGGAATCCAAGGACTTTTGGAAAATTACAACCAAACAAATGGAATAACAGATTAATTTTAGTAATGCCCCATACCAGAAAGCTTTTGAAATTTTGAGACGAATTCCTCAAATTAAATGTTGACCTTTTAAAGTCATCAAAATTGTATTTTGAGACTAATATTATTAGCCATAGTAATATCACCCAAACAATTAGGTGTTGTTATTCCCGCAGCAAAACTGAATAACATTACATAGTTTTTCACCAAACTCAGTAATTTTGGGTTGAATTTCATATCTAGGCCCAGGAATGGCTATTACAATGTGGGCGTGGGGGGAATTGATTGACTGAATTGAATGGTACATCATTATGGGTTCTACTTGAATCAGAATTGTTTAGTAGTATAGTCTCTTGTACTCTTTAAAAGTATATACAATAATATGCTGATGTATTATTAGCCATTACATTCCAGAGGTTAGGTTTGATAATTTATCAAAAAATTGTATTGAAATTTTCATCTGCATCTGTTTGAAGTTAAAGGAATGAGAATTATTTAAGATTTGAATTATAGAGTCTCACAGCTCAGAAACCTTAATTTCTCCAATGAACAATCTGTAAGGGGGCAGAATTTGAGTACCCTGATTTGAACAGCTACTGCCTTATGTAACCATATATTTGATTTGAAAAGATACAAGTAACAAGTGTATCTTCCAGTGATCAAGTGGGGATTAATCCTTTATATCTGCTATGATTATATCACTCCTGTTAATGTGTGTATTATGTCACACTGCAATAATAATGTGGGACATATTTTTATTCTGCTGTTAGAAAAGCTGAAAAATCAAGATACAGATTCACCACGCCACCACCACCCCCCCTGCCCCCACCCCTGCACAGACCACCATCACTGCCTGACCACAAAAATGTTGTTTACTTCAGAAGGGAAGTCTAAATTGAACAGATTTAATAACAATTTTTGCTATCATCTCTTCCCCTCCTAACATACCTTCATTACACTTCAGAACCTGGAAATTTCACACCAGTGCGTGATGGGCCAGCAACTCCAAGGCTTCGTTCAGTGAGTTCCTATGGGAATATCCGTGCTGCTACTTCGGTGCGGAACTTGAATAAATCTCTTCAGAATCTTAATTTAAATGAAGAAAGTAAGTACAACTAAAGCCGGTGATAAATAGGTGTTAGTATCATAATAATTAGCAGGCACAGACTTCCTGTGCATACATAATTATTTTGCTATGAATTCCAACAATTCAGTTTGCAGCAGTGTATTGTGCTGACTTTGACTTAAAAACTTATCAGATATAATACTGAAGAATTGCAAAGTAAACTGCATCTGTTCCTCCTGTATATCTGGCTTAACATCTGGAGAAAAAGATCAGTTCCTAAATGTAGTGAGTTCTGTATTTCATTATCTCACCTCCCAAATGGGTTCACTCAAACTAAACTAAGCTGGCTCAGATCTAATTGGCAGCCCAAATGGTTTCCATCAGATTATAGAGTAGTTCTGTGAGGCTTACTCAGCAATTTTGTTTGGAAACAGGCAGCTTCATGCACAGTGAATTTCAGACCCTCCAATAGGTTCAGTTGAAATAAACAGATTAATCATTCTATGTAGATTTATTCCTGGTTCCACTGATCAGATATTTATGTATAAGATTTTTATGCTTAGATCCAGTCCCATCAAATTTAGTTCAGAAAGTATTTTCTGCCTCACTTGAAATCCTTCCCCCCAAACTGCGGTGCCTAACTTTTGAACCACAGAATTCCCACATTGTGGAAGCAGACCATTTGGCCCGTCAAGTCCGCACTGACCTTCCAAAGAGCATCCCATTCCCCCATCCTATCTCTGTAACCATGCACCTAACCTACATGTCCCTGAACACTACGGGCAATTTAGCATGCCTTATCCGCCTAGCCTGCACATCTTTGGACTGTGGGAGGAAACCAGAGCACCCAGCGAAAACCCACGCAGACACTGGGAGAGCGTGCAAACTCCAGATAGTCAGTCGCCGAGGTTGGAATCAAACCCGGGTCCTCAGCGCTGTGAGGCAGCATTACTAACCACTGAGCCGCCATGCCGCCCATAACTGAAAATTTTTCCTGATCCCCCATTCTTTTTTTCAGGTTTCTCTTCAATCTCCCTGCCCTCTGAATTCATTTTGTCCATTGAGTAGTTCCTATTTCCACCAAAATGCTGACTAGCTATCTACCCTCCCTGTGTTCCTGCACCCAGTACCTTTAGCTGATATCATTAACAGTATCATCTCCTCAACAGCCCTGCCTTCAAATCTGCAATTATCAGCATCCTGAAAGAACCCACCTTTGTTCCCCTCGTCTCTGAATTGCTTATATTAAAAAGAAGCTAAAATATGGTTAAAATCTCATGTGCTTTGCAATGTGCAAGTATCAATTTTAAAATATTATCATAGCAATGAAAGATCTAAAATGAACCAACACCAAATATTTCACATGGTCAATTGTCCAAATATTAATGGACCAAAAGCCGTCATAACATTTTACTGGTGTTTATGTAAGTGATTAAGATTTTGGTGTGTATACATTTAAAAACTCTCCATTCGGAAACAAATAAATTCTCTGCAGTACAGGAAAACAACAATAAATTTGACCTAAAGATATTCAAAATCCTATATCAGATTTTATCTTAGAGTTGTGTAACATAAAACAGTCCATCATAAAAAGAAATAAAATTAATTGTGCTCTGGCATTTGTAAAATAATTCAACTGTCATGTTTGATTGAATTTTTACAATATTGAATGTGTTCAATGAACAAAGTGATCTTGAAATGTTTAGTGTGCAGCATTACAATGAAATATCTGATGTTTTAAGTGTTGATGATGAGCTTCTGTTTGGCCAATGAAAAATTAATGGCCAGTTACAAAATAATAGTTCAGTTTTGCAGTTTTTTTTTGTTGTAATCCAGGATGGTCCATAAAAAAGTGATGACTTGGGCACGTATAAAACAATGCCTTGGGATGATTTGCTGTGATAAGGAGTAGAGGCTTAAGGCAAAGAAATGAAGCAAGACTAAAATTATGTCTTGAGCAACTGATGGAAACATAGCGTTATAATTAAATGGTGAAAGAGATAGCTCGTATTTATCGCCATTAGATTTTCACTTCTTTTTAAATTACCCAAAATTTAATCTTGAGGTATTCAAATCATTATGAGGATTAGCATATTTTGTTTTGCAATAAAATGATTGAAAAATGCATTTTACAATAATTTGCTCCGTAGAGATGAGGATATAATTGTGATGGTCTTACTAGGAAATGGTGTATTTAAATGTGATCTTACTAAAGATATTTAATTCTTCTTCATCTTTGTTTTTATTCTGTTTCAGCCGGTGGTTCAAACCCATTCTCTCCTGGCTATCTAAGCACCAGCAGTAGTGCCAGTAGTACCCTGGGAAGCCCTGACAATGATGAGTACATCCTTTCTTTTGAAACCATAGATAAAATGAGGAGAGTCAGTTCCTACAGCTCCTTGAACTCATTAATAGGTAAGACTTCAGGATATGAATTTCTCACGAGATACTGTTTCAAATTTTTTCCCAGGATTAAATTCTGCGGTGGTTTGTTAAATTTAAATAATAATATACTCCTTCCGTGAAGTATAGACATTGAAACATGGAAAATAGGAGTAGGAGCAGGCTATTCAACCCATCGAGCCTGCTGTACCTTTCAGCGTGGTCATGGCTGATTATTCAACTCGGTCCATTGTTCCTGCTGTCTCTCCATTTAGTAGAATAGAATCCCTACAGTGTGGAAGAAGGCCATTCGGCCCATCGTGTCCACACCGACCCTCTGAAGAGCATCCCACTCAGACCCCTATCCCTGTCACCCTGCATTTCCCATGGATAATCCACCTAGCCTGCATATTCCTGGACACTACAGGTCATTTTAGCATGGCCAATGCATCTATCCTGCACATCTTTGGACTGTGGGAGGAAACCAGAGCACCTAGAGGAAACCCACGCAGACACGGGGAGACTGTGCAAACTCCACACAGTCACCCAAGGTTGGAATCTCTTTTATCTCTCAGAACTATTTCTAACGCCTCCTTGAAAACATTCAATGTTTTGGCCTCAACTGCTTTCTATGGCAAAGAATTCCATAGACTCTCAATTCTCTGGGTAAAGAAATTTCTCCTCCTCTCAGTCCTCAATGACCTACCACACTTCCTTAAACTGTGACCCGTGATTCTGGACTCCCTGATAATCGAGAACATCTTTCCTGCGTTTATCATATGTAGTCCTTTTAGAATTATACAGATTTATGCAAGATATTCATCTCGTTCTGCTAAACTGCAGTGAATATAACCCTAACCAATCCAGTCTCTGTCCATGTGTCAGTCCCAGGAATCAGTTCTTCACTGTATAGATTCTACCCTAAATAGTAATGTATTTGGTAGAAACACATTACTGCAGATGCTGGAATCTGTGCTGAAAACAACAAGTACTGGAGATCACAGCAGGTCAGACAGCATCCATGGAGACAGAGCAACGTAACATTTTGTGTCTAGACGACTCTTCATCATAGCTGAAGTGTAGTGTGGAGGAGACATCATTTATGCTATAGTTTGGGGGCTTGTGTGTGGAGTTAGTGGGTGTAGGGTGCTGGTGGAGAATGGCAGAACAATGATGTCTTGTGCCTGACTTGAAAGGACAGTAACTGGAATGGGGGGAGGGGAGGATATGATAACAAGCTAAAAGTAAAGGAAGAAATGGTTCACAATTTAAAGATGTTGAACTCAATATTAAGTTCAGAAGGCTGTAAAGTGCCTAGTCTGAAGAAGAGATGTTGTTTCTCCAGTTCACTCTGTGATTCACTGGAGCACTGCAGCATGCCGAGGACAGACATGTGGGCATGCGAGCAGGACGCTGTGTTAAAATGACCGGCTACAGGAAGTTCAGTGGCCTGCTTGCAAACGCTGCACCTGAGCAAGTCTGATCAAAGCAGGTTTAATCTATGAATTAGTACACTCGACTGTTGTCCATGGTATTCAATCCTTAAAGTAAGTTGTTGCGGTAGTAAACAAACTTTCTATTCATTTGTTGGCTGTTGCCCCATTTTCACCCTGTCGCCTAATTCACTGTTAGATGCTATTGCTACATAATGTTTATCAGAGTATGTCATATCCTAAAACAAAACAAAGAAATGCGAATCCTGAAGATCTGGAAGAAAAATAGAAATTGTTGGAGAAACAGGTCTGATAGCATCTGTGGAGAGAATGCAGAGTTTATGTTTTGAGTCCAGTGAGCCTCCTTCAGAATGGCTTTGTCTTTGAGTAGTGAGTCAGTACATGATCTCACTCGGGGTGCTTGATTGATTGATTTTATTGTCACGTGTACAGAAATACAGTGAAAAGCTTTGATTACGAGCGGTACTGGCAGATCACAGCAAGCAAAGGATGTACAGATCAAAAAGACTTAGAGGCATACAGGTTATATTGCAGGTTACATTATTTGAGACGAGAGTCCATTCAACAGTCTGATAATGGCCGGAAAGAAGCTGTTCCTGAACCTGCTCTGTATCTTCAGCCTGATTGAAAAGGTCGCAGGAGGTCATTACCAGGAAGTGATGGGTCTTTGATGATGTTGGCCACCTTTCCACGGCAGCGAGCCATGTAAATAGAGTCTATGGATAGAAGGTTGGCTTCTGTGATGGTCTGGGCTGTGCACTCCACTTTCTGTAGTTTCTTACGGTCCTGGGCAGAGCAGTTGCCATACCAGGCCATTATGCACTCGGGCAGTTTGTTTTCAGTGGCTCATCTGTAGAAGTTGGTGAGGGACTTTATGGACGTGCCAAATTTCCTGAGCTGCCTGAGGAAGAAGAGGCGTTGTTGTGCTTTCTTGACTATTGCATTTACATGGGAAGTCCAGGACAGGTGGTCACTTGTCGTCACTTCAAGGAACTTGATGCTCTTCCCTCTCTCAACCTCAGTTCCGTTGATGTCGATGTTGATGTACAACAGTTGATAAGCGTAACTCTGGGTGAAATGAGAGAAATGGCCAGCAGCTGTGAGAATGATCTCATACTTGGAATCCAGAACAACTTGTACAGTGCCTTTAATGTACCAAAAATTTTAAATCTCTTCACACAAGTACAATCAGACAAAAAAGATATCCAGAGTCTGAGTTGGTGGTAATTGGACGGATGACCTAAATATGGTGCTCAGAGGTAGGTTTTAGCAGCATCTTAAAAAAGAAGTGAATGATAGAGAGGTGAAAAGGTTTGGAGACAGGATTACAGTGCACAGTGCCTGGATGTCGAATGCCTGCACAGTTTAACAGCTGCTTTCTTGGCTGTCAGAAAAATATGCAGGATTTTGGAGCACTTGTTAAATTGTACTCCAGCAAGGAAGTACTGAGGGGAAGGATATAGGAGAAAATTGCTTGCAAAAGGCCACAGAGGCATTTATTCTTATGAAAAAGAATAATTTCTCATTTCAGCAAATTTAGCTGCCATCCTTCCTTAATTTCCAGCCTCCACACTACAAATGCAGCTTTAAGTTGATTGAATGCTTAATCAACTTAAATCCACTTTTTAGGATGGCTGGGAATGTGGCTTCACTTAATATAAAAGCAGGATTGCATATAAGGTTACTATACATTAGCTAAAGCTCCTTTAATTTATTAGCAAAATGTATGATGGCTCTGTTTGAATGATCACTGCTGAAGGGGATGATTAGTTTTTAAGGTATCACGATGTTATTCACCCTGCTGTCTAATCTTAATGGTATGTACAATCAGTCTTTGACCAGAACCATCGCAACTTTCTCTGTATCCTGGATTTTAAGGTAGGTAAGAGATAAGTTGACTACCTAATTTAATGATCACATGATAATTAGTACAGCAATTTGCACACTCCATAGAAATATGATCAAAGTAATGGAAGTGAAAATATTTCTTAATGTTTCCATAATGTAGAAATTTTAAAAGCATTGTGAAACTCCATCACAATGAAGCAGTGGGCTTGACGTTTGTGTGGATTAATTCAGTATAACTTGTAAGTTGTCATGAGTGATATTACAGGAAATCTGGTATTATGAATAAAGATAATTGCTAATGTTTCTTCAAAAGAAGCTGTTTAAAATGTTACCAAAAAGGCTTCTTGTAGGCAGTCCTGTTTATTAAAAGACTAAGATCCCAGTGATTTCACCTAAGCTGCTGCAGAATATATTTCAGTTAAACTCTAAATTTAAAAGTTGCATTATTTTTAAATTATTGTGCGAATAAGCACCGAAAAGAACATGGTACCACTGAGTATACTTCACACATTATTTCCCTTGTGAAAGGGTTGTCAAAACATTTTGAAAATTGAGTGGAACACTTCACAACTTCAGAAAACCCCAGTGCAGTTTGAACATATGAAGTGTAGTCACAATTCATGTGGGGGAAAGAAAATCGCACCAGTTTTTCTTTAATTCACTCATGGGATGTGAGTGTCGCTGGCCGGCTAGCACTTATTGCCTGTCCCTAGATGTCCTAGAGAAGATGATGATATGCTACCTTCTTGAACCACTGCAGTCCATGTGCTGTAGGTAGACCCATAAGATTTTGACCCAGCAAGTGAAGGAATGGGCAGATATATATTTCCAAGTCAAAGGTATTTGCAGGTGGTGGTCTTCTCATATATCTGCTGCCCTTGTATTTCTAAACAGAAGTAATCATGGGTTTGGAAGGTACTATCTAAGGATCTTTGGCAAGTTTCTGCAGTGCATCTTGTAAAGAGTACACCTTGCTGCTACTGAGCGTTAGTGGTAGAGGGAGTGGATGCCTGTGGGAGTGGCTCCATTCAAGTGAGCTGCTTTGTTGTCAAGCTTCTTGAGCGTTGTTAGAGCTGCACCCACCCATGCAAGTGCTCAATTTGCCTCTCAGCCTGCTCTCACAAACAACTGAGGTAATAATCAAATAATCTGTTGGTGGAATGTTTTTTGAGGGATAAATATTGTCCAGGTCCTTGAGCACTTTTCTGCTGTCTGTGGAATAATGCGATGGGATGTCACATTCCACTTGAGAAGGGAGACAACAACCTTGATTTAACATTGATCTGAAAGAAAGCATCTCTGACAATGCAGTGCTCAGTCAATACAGCGTGATGTGTCAGCCTGGAGTTTGTACTCCAGTTTCTGTTGTTAACTGGTAGTTAATCTCCTGTTATGTTTATACTGAAGGACCTGTTTCTCCTTCATAGCCATAGAATGGATTTTATTTACATGGTGGGGCAAATTCTGAAATGTTTTTGTTAAAGCCCTTTATTTACAATTGTTTTTAATCTATAAATAGCACTTTACTCAATTGTTAACGAAAATCACACAGAAAATGGACAGGAAAATAAATTTTTGACCCCGCGCTTCAAAATACTAGACTGTCAATACCTTCAAAAAAGGGCTATAAGCTGCTTTGCATTTCTCCTGTTATTAGCAGTTGAGGTTACATATTTTGTAGGTTTGTACTGCCTTTGGCTTGATCATTTAACAATGTATCTTTGGATAGAT